TTCCTTCCTTCCTTCCTTCCTTCCTTCCTTCCTTCCTTCCTTCCTTCTTCCCTTTCTCATTCTTCTTCCTATAGTGGTTATAATGCAGTATGCAGACTAACTTTGCCCTGCTGTTAGGAGTTTGATCCTAACTGGCTTAAGGTCAACTCAGCCTTCTGTCCTTCTGAGGTCAGTAAAATGAGGACTCAGATTATCGGGGGCAATAAGTTGACTCTGTAAACTGCTTAGAGAAGGCTGTAAAACATTGTGAAATGGTATATAAGTGGTATTGTTATCCCTCCCTCCCTTTCCTCCCTCTTATTCTCTTTCTCATTCTCCTTCCTGGTGGCACAGTAGTTAGAATGCAGCATTACAGGCTAATTCTGCCAACTGCCAGCAGTTCGATTCTGACCGGCTCAAGGTTGACTCAACTTTCCATCCTTCCAACCTTCCGAGGTCGGTAAAATGAGGAGCCAGATTGTGGGGTGCAATAGGCTGACTCTGTAAACCACTTAGAGAGGGCTATAAAAGAACTGTGAAGTGGTATATAAGTCTAAATGCTATTCTTATTATTTTAATTTTTTTCTTATCTACGTAGCAGGTGTTACCTTTTTCAGTGGATGTATTGCATTTTGGTATCTGGGAACAATCTCCGATCCGAATATTTGGATTGGTCGTAAAACACCAGGGTACCTCAGCTCCATCTGGGTTTCGGCAATAGTTCTCTCTCAAATCCCTGCAAAATAATAATGATAATAATAAGACAATAAATGTGCTAACATATGTCTGGCAAACTGCTGTGTTTCTCCCCCATAAGCAAGAAAAATTATTTGATAACCATGTCACTAATTTGGTTTTGCAGAAAAAAAATGAATGTGTTAAAACAACAATAGCAAGTGCACACACACACACACACACACATTTTTGTAAAACAGGAAATTCCAAATGCTAGACAGCTACTAAAATTATTTCAATTTGTAGTAATCTGGGCTTTGGCAACATTGACAGAAATAGTTCCATTTCATACATTCGTTACCAGAAACTGTAAAACCAGTGCTGCCCAAGATGCTTGCTTTAAAAAAAACATTTCTGTCTGAGTTCTGTATCCCATCTGACTCTTAATAGATGAGGATTTTATTTTACTTTATTAGTTTTTTACATGTAACTCAAGGCGGTGAACACTTCCAATATTCTTCCTCCTCCTGTTTTCCTCACAACAACAACCATGTGAGGTGGATTGGGTGGAGAGAGAGAGAGGGAGTGGCCCAAAGTCACCCAGCTGGCTTTCATAGCTAAGGCAGGATTAGAACTCACAGTCACCTTTGATTGGTTCAAAGATATCCAGTTGGCTTTCATCTCTAAGGCGGGACTAGAATTCGTGGTTTCCTGATATTTAGTCAGGTGCCTTACCCACTAGACCACACTGGCTTTGTAAGATAGATAGATGATAGATAGATAGATAGATAGATAGATAGATAGATAGATAGAGAGAGAGAGAGAGAGAGATACAGATGATAGAGAGACAGAGAGATATAAACTATAAAAGATATAATAGACAAAGCAAAGGAAAAAAAGGGAAATACATAACATAATGAGACACCATGAACAACTAAATGCCAAAAAGGTGTTCAAATAAAATGATTTTGACCGATTTGTAAAATGCAAGGAAAGTGGGATCACCCATACTCTCAGATGGCCACCATAAAATGGCTTGTTACTTTGTCCCGTGAACTTCACACGCACAGGTAGTCCTTGACTTACCATGACAATTGGGCCTAGAAGTTCCATTTGCTATGCAAGGCCAAATGAATTGCACCCAATTTGATGGCCTGTTTTTGGCCCAGCTGAACAAATCACCACAGTCATTATGTGAATCGCGTGAATGTTAAGCGAATAGGGCTTCCCCAATGAGTTTGATCACATGACCTCAGATATTGTGCATTGGGTTAGTTCAAGGACCAGTCATAAATCACTTTTTCCAGGGCCATCCTAATTTCAAACACTTGCTAAATAAAGGATTGTATGTCAACGACTACCTATATTCTCCCCAAATATCCAGTTTCTCAGGTCTTACACTGTGTGGCATTGCTTGAGATGTCTACGTGCAAGAACACAAGCAAACAGTCAGTCAAGGAGACCCAAACTCATTGGTAGCCTCACATTGCAATGAACAAGGACATACATTCAATTTTGCAGCTGCTAAGATTGTCAGAAGAGCAGGGACAAAAACAGCCAGGGAAGTGATTGAAGCCTGGAAAAGAGGCCTCTTGTTAACAAGTCAACGACTGCTGATTTACCACCAACTTATCAGATACTTAAGAGACAAGGGCTTGGCAGCCCAAGGAAACAACAGCAACAGCCAATCACCAACCATCAACATACCAGACAAACCAAGAAGAAGGCACCACAACAATAAGACTCACAGAATAGCCCAAAGCACCTATTCCAGTAGAGAGACATTCTCCAAGGATGGGCTCCAGCATGAGTCCAAAATCTTGGAAGACCAAAACTCTGGTCCTGACGACCAACCCAGATTGGATCAACATTATCCTGGAACACGTATATTTTATTTGCCTTCATTCGTTAATATGCCTATGGATTTGTTTTCAAGATAACCAGCACTAGGAATGGAGGCTACAACAAGAGCAACTTAAGAACCAATGTTAGACTTTCAAATTTCTAGGCTCTATCATGTCACAAGACCAAAAATGGACACCTAACATTAAAAACATCATCAAAAAAGCACAAAAAATAATGTTCTATATGCACCAACTCAGAAAGCTCAAACTGCCCAAGGAGCTGCTGATCCAGTTTCTACAGAGGAATGATTGAGTCTGTCATCTGTACCTCTATAACTGTCTGGTTTGGCTCTGCAACCCAACAGGACAGACACAAACTTCAGAGAGTAAATAGGACTGTAGAAAAAACAATTTGTTCCAACCTGCCTTCCATGGAGGACCTGCATACTGCACGAGTTAAAAAGAGGGCTGTGAAAATATCCACAGACCCCTCACATCCCAGACATAAACTGTTTCAACTCCTACCCTCAAAAGAACGCTATAGAGCCCTGCACACCAGAACAACTAGACACAATGAGAGTTTTTCCTCAAACGCCATCACTCAGTTAAACAAGTAACTCCCTCAACACTGTCCAACTATTTACAAAGTCTGCATTACTATCACTATTAATCTTCTCATCACTCCTTATCACCCATCCCCTCCCACTTGTGATTATATGACTAACTTTGTTGCTTGTATCCTTACAATCTATATTGACTGTTTCCTAGTATGATTTGATTGCTTATTGTATCCTATGACTATCATTAAGTGTTGTACCCGATGATTCTTGACTCGACTTTTTTCTTTTATGTATACTGAAGGCATTTGCACCAAAGACAAATTCCTTGTGTATTCAATCACACTTGGCCAATAAAGTATTCTATTCTGTTCTATGCTAATTTTTGGCCTATTGCAAAAACTTGGCCTATTCCATGCAAACTTCAATCACATCTAAAACCTATTAACGCCAGCTGTCAGGTTTACACTACCAAAATAAGCTCCCAGCTATTGTTTTGAATGGATATTCGTATTACATAATCAGACCCTGAGTTTTTTTCATTAATTTAATTAGGAAAACAGACCCTATTGTACAGAATATATGCCTTTAGAAACTTTAACCCTGTGTTTCCCAAGTATCTAATCTTCGGGGGGATCTCCTTAAAAAAAACTCTCTGGTTATATTAAAAAGTCTCAAGCTCTGGAAAAACGTAAATATGGCTGTCCATTTCCCTCCTGTTGAATTTCAGTGGAGCTTTTCATTTTGAAAGACTGTTTGGTCATCCCTTGAAGAGAAGTTGGTTGGTGTGAGACTGTTCCCAACATCCCATCTGCCCATCTACACTTCTGAAGAAATTGTAGCAGAAAATCTATCGAGATTGGAAGTCATAAGGATAGATGGACATTAAAAATAAAGGACAAAGAAGACACAGAATATTACTTAACATGGAATAGATTTCATGAGTGGTCAGAGATAAGAGGTAGAAATTAGGCAAAGAAAGATTACTGTTATGTACGAATTAAATATAAAGAGGGTTTACAGTTATAAACATGTTGATATAATTTACATAATTATAAACAAGAATAATATAAAGAGAAATCTAGTTAAAATGACTTTGTTACACTATTATTATTGTTATTCGTATACATGTTAATATCTCGGTTTGTATTCTTCTTGATTTTTTTTGTAAATGATATGTCCTGACAATACACTGTGTTCAAAATCTTTATGAATAAAAATAAAACATATACTCCAAAAAAAGAGGAAGTCATAAGACCCCACCAGCTTTCAACTCTTTTATATATTGATTACTTGAGCTTGATTTTTCTTTATTTCTATACCCAAGACATTTTTTTTTAACATCCTTGGAAAACACAATTATCATGAAACTGGGAGCGATATTGTAGTGTTAACATACATACATACATACATACATACATACATACATACATACATACATA